ATATGTCCTGCCCGAGTATCGTGTCTTCTTGCGTCTTCACTGGGTCCCGAGACGCTACGCTAAAACCATTTGTTAATACCCCTGACATTTTATCTATAGGAAAAGTTGTTTGAACCCAACGACACCGAGGTTTCTTACCATTTACATTGCCTAAAGAGTCTACTCAAATATGCAAGCTGTATGGTGGAAAGGGTGTATGCTTGTACTGCAAAAAGTACCAAGTTAAATTAATTGGAATTCCTTAGACATGATGTCACCCCAGTTGTCAATGTAATTCTTGCACAGCACAGAATAGGGATACTCGCCAAGTAGGGGTAGTATGGAGTTGACCACGCAGTCGAAACAAATGTCGATCTGCTACAGGCTTTTCAGTGCTGCTAAACAAACAATTGGTTTTATGTATGGAATATTTAAGGTAAAAGATACTGTTGCCTATGAAAAATAAGTCCACTCACAGTTATCAATTTCTTTTTCACTGCAACTCATTTAAATCAATGAAGCCACAAACTTTACGCCGTGCGTTGTTTTCCATTTGTTAGATGCTTCACCAGTTGTGAACACTCTTAGGTACTTCAAACTGTTTCCATGCCTCTAATTACCCATTTGTTTTAGTTCGTTTCTATGACCCCTAAAGCGTATGTGCGTTTTTAAATGAAATGGATCATGAACTTGAAAAACATGTGTGTAGGAGTTTCGAAATAATAAAGCGAATAGGAAAAGGAGTATGTGCATGATGCTATTTATTCCAACCTAAGGCCTATGGAATAGTTTGGAAAGCAAAGTACAAGCGGCTTAATAAGCATGTAGCCCTCAAGAAGATTTTTGATGCCTTTCGCAATAAGACTGATGCACAGGTATGCTTTATCAACGTAGTGATTTTTTAGCGAACATTTCGAGAAATTGTTTTTTTACGGGAGTTTTCTGGCCATCCAAACATTATTAAATTACTGGGCGTAATTCGGGCCCAGAATGACAAAGATATTTATCTTGTTTTTGAGTACATGGGTGAGGGGACATTTTAATAAACTATTTTTGTTAGAAACTGATTTGCACAAATTAATTAAAAGGGGAAACATTTTGCGAAGTGCTCATATGAAGTATATTACTTACCAAATTTTAAAGGCTATCAAATACATCCATTCCGCTGGTGTTATACATCGTGATCTCAAAGTACGTTTACATCCATTTAGGCATCGTATTTTTAGCCATCCAATATCCTCCTTGACTCTGACTGCAACGCAAAAATTTGTGATTTTGGCCTTACTCGTTCCTTGTCACGGTGTAACGCCCCAAATGATAAAAATAGTGTCCCTGATTTTGACAATCCCGAGCTAACCGAGTATGTGGCTACTCGATGGTACAGGGCACCGGAGATTTTACTCTCCTCCACTCACTACACCAAAGGCGTTGATATGTGGTCAATCGGCTGCATTTTGGCGGAGATTTTTATCGGCAAGGCCCTATTTCCCGGAACATCTACGTTGAATCAGCTTGAGAAGATTATGTCCATTGGTCCGAAGCCTAGTCGAGAAGGTATTTTTGTATCCATTGCTTTAAATTTGCATTTTTATAAAAAAGGTTTATGCTGACTACTTTGTAAATGAGTTCTGTTATTAGTAATTCTATCTATAACTGGTTGAAGTAATTCGGGCGCACTTTTACCCTTAATTTAATTTTGCTCTTTTATAGACATCTTATGCCTCCGTTCTGACTATGGAGCTTCAATATTGGATCAACCTTCAATAGCGTAAAAGGCTTTATTTTCAAACTATTTTTTTATTTAAGACCTTGTTAATCCTACTTAATGTCTATCAATAATTCAAAACATGTTTTTTTAAGAGGTAGACGGCGTTTGGAGGATGTGGTCACCCCTGTTCCCGAGCCAAGTGCACTGGAGATGGTTCGTGGTCTTCTTCAGCTCAACCCCAACAAACGTCTTACGGCTGCTCAAGCGCTCGAACACCACTACGTTTCCCAGTTTGTTGATTTTATAAAGTCGTTTCTTGTCCTTCCTCCTAATTTATTTTTTAATTGAATTATATCTAATAATTCACTGTTAGCGTCACTCATATGTGACATCTCGGTTTCCGTAGCTTAAACGTCACACCTACGTGGCAGAGTTGACTAAAGCTGAGGAGAAAAACGAAATAGATAGAAATAGGTTAGTCATTTGGATTGCAGTGATTGGTTGTCCTCTGCGTTAAATGTGCAAGACTTCATTCTTTGAGTACTTCAAGAGCCCCTAATTGTCCTATTACCTTCGAGGAATATTCTGCTCTACCGTAAAATAGAGCTTTGTTTTGTACTATTCCGTTGGCCGTAGCAACTGGCCACACCCAAACTGATAAGAGTTTTCATCACTAAACACCCTACCATTCTTTCATCCAATGATATCATATTACTTAGTCACCGTGAAAACTATCCACCTTATTCCAGTTGGAGAGTAAACCCCTGTTACAAGCGCACAAAAAATGTTTAATTCCTCTCTGGAGGGGAGGATTGTTTGGGCTACAATGCATCCAACTTCGCCGAGTCCGTTGCAATATATTTGCTGTGAAGGTTCCACAACTTTGATACTAGAGTTACTTTAGTTTGTGAACCTCAAATAGCATCCATCAGGCTCATCTTTCAATCCTAAATGATCCAGCCTTATTTCTTGTCAACTTATTTGATCCACTTTGAGAGGTGTCGTCCTTGAAATCTCAGTGTCTGTCAATAAGTTACTGCAGTTCTCACCGAGCCTTCCTTACAAGCCTCTACGGGTTCAGTCATTGCTGGTAGATGTCTTTCTTCTCTGACGTCTCATGAATAGTATCTGGCCGTGAAGTTGGCAGGACTTCATATTCTACCTTATCCCTTGAGGTTTCCTCTCCGAAAAAATACATCACAACCCGCTTAAAGCCGCTTTTGTTACGTTTGTCGACAGTGTGTAGAGACTTGGAAAATTCCGCAGTCCATAATAAATGTGCTTCTAATATGCCAGTTCTTAGAAAAGCCTCAGTTGAAATGATCACGTTGTTTGTAAGAGGTTTTTGAGCACCAATGGTTTAGCCTAGTGAATTATGAGAGACAAAGAAGACCTGGTTGTTTTGATTAATTTTGTCGGGGGCGATTTAAAAAGTGCAATTTTTCCCTTTTCCCCTAGATTTCGAGATCCAGAAAGTGAATTTGTGATGGACCACGTTGTTGTACCGCCCCTAAATGACAGTAAAAAACTTGGCATTTCGGAATACCGCTCTCGTCTCTACGATGTAAGTAACTGTTCCTTTTCTTTACGCGTAAGAACCGTCTTTCCGTTCTTTTCTGCCTCATAATATCTTTTGTGGGAAAAAAATGCCTACGCTTAAGTCATAACGCCTATTGAGGAGGGTTTATTTTTATTCACTAAGTTATTCTAGTTGCGTAGTATTTAACGATCAATTTACTCAAAAAAGCTGCAAATTTATACGCTGTTTAAGATGGATGTGTCTGCAGTGACTTCCAATTCATCACCTAGGATCTCAGCACAAATAAAATTTTTTCCAGGGGGGGGATTCCCCCTCCCCCCCTCCACTCTCTCTCTCTCTCTCTTTTAAAACGAAACATAAAGAGGAACTTTAATCCTGTCCAGAATTGGTTATTTTAAAAATAGTATGCTTCGGTATGAAATCGACAATTTTATGCATTTTTTCTTTTTTGAATTAAATCTTTAGATGATCCTTGAGACAAAATCTAAAAGACCGCAAATGAAAAAGCTAAGCTCATCGGAAAGTGAAAGTGCATCCAAAGATTGTAGTGAGGTGAGTTTTTAATTTATAGATGAACAAATGTCACTCCTTATTTAGGAAAAGTAGGTGTGCTGTTGTCTACTGATAACTGCCTGAGTAGTATCTAACTGGGGAACAAATGAGTTTATGGGATTTCTATGTTCATGTTAAATAGCTTCAAAAAGCTCCTCGGATTACTTTATAAAGAGAATCATGCCTACATAGTCTGCAGTTCTTCCTCAAAATGACACAAACTAGCTGCGATTAACACTTTTACAAGACGGTTCTTCTCAAGGCTCAAACGATTCCTAGTTATAGCTCCAGCACTCGCTGCCTCCCAACTGTGCCACCTGTCCATTTTAATCTTGAATGGGTATTTCAAGAAAAGGTTTTGAGTAATCAGTTGACAAAATATCATTCAGAGAATACGGAGGATGGGGAAATATATCCCCCCTCCCCTGCCTCCCTCGCTACCCTCTTCTTATCTTAAATCGTAATACTAGGTCTTCTCTTGAGTGCTGAAGGCTTTTTCCAAGGGTATTTTTTATTCACTTCCATTTAGAACGGTTCCAGTGTGTCCCCTTCAACATCCACCGGTTCAAGTACTATTTCTCTAGAAGACAGTGGCTGTAAGTACTTCATCTGTTTTACTGAGCTGTTGCCCGTGTCCTCAAATTTCTTAATCTTTACTGTTTAATCCCATCCTGTAGCGATTAAATCTCCCCTGAAGAAGTTTTTAGGTATTATAGGGTACGTAGCGCAGTAAAAATAATTGACTGTAACCTCCACGCCAAAGTAGTTTCTGAGCATCCCGTCGCAGTCGCATGCCTGAACTGTTTACAGATCCAGGTAGTGCGGATCCTTGACCGTAATTAGGAAGGCAGTTCCTTCTGTGGATGCCTCCTAAACCCAATAGAGCATTTAATTTTTATGTACCAGACATGGCCGAGAAGTGACGAAGCTGGCATAAGGGACGCAAGTAGTGGGAGACTAGAAGACTTCAAACCCGTACCTTTTCTCCCATTTTTATTCAGCCACCACCGCTGCTACTACGACCACTACCGCTTCCGCTGAGACATCGGCAACATCTCCATCGACGGTGTCGAGATCTCGAATCGTTGCTCCACCCTCTCCACAACGTCCTATTCATCTGCCTCCTGCTAAACAGAGGTCGGAGAATTCAAAACCGACCACAGTTAAATTCCAACGAGGGGCTTCCTGTGAAAATGGGAGCAAAGTTCCACTCAAATCAATCCCGGTGACGTGGATTCCCAATCAGGAGAACAGGAAGACGGTTGAGTGGAATACTTGTATTCTTGGATATTTCTATCACATTAAATAGGCTTCAAGACATCCAACAATAGTGCTGTGGACGAGCAGACTTGCCACGATGGTAGATGTTTTAGAGGTTGAGGAAAAAACCCTACTCTGATAATAAACAGCTCCTAAGACTCTTCCGTAACGCTTTTAAAAGGAAATGTTAGCATAATTTTTCCTTGCTTTCTCCCCTAAGACTCGAAAACGTCAAGTGTATCCAGATATTCTGGTGAAGAATTCACAGCAAAATCATCAAGTGAGGCCATCTAGACAAGCTCTAGGATGTGGAGATGCTGCATTAGGATTTTCGCAGCCCTCCATTCCAACAATAACAACTGCAGCAGCCACAACGACGTCGACAATGGCAACCTCTTTCACCAGATCCCATGATATCCCCATGATTCTTCGTGGCAACGAAAATCATATGGGTAGTGATGGTGTAAGTTATTTTTTACTTTTTCTTGCATGACGCCCTTGAGTCCACGCGTCACACATATTTGACGCACTTAGGTACGTACTTAACTGCTAGGCTGATTGATGAAGCCACAGCAATTGTTGGCACATTCGAAGCCGATCCATAAGTGATATTGGCCAATCAAAGGATTTAAGAGGTTCTAGAAGGTCTGGGACTTGGTCACGAAGAGAAAAGCTTCTCAAGAATCGGGATGGAAACATATTCTCATCTGTCAGTGAATTGGTAGACCAAAGCGCTAACCGCATCCTCATTATTTCAATCATTTTACAGAATCTCGTTCGGCATTATCACCCTCCTGGTCGGCAAAAGACAACCATCAGCGGGGGATACTACGAGGGTTGGAGACGAGGAGGGCAGAGGAGTGCCAGTTTGGATCCGCCTCATCTACCACTACCGCCACCACTTCCTAATCCTGCCAACACCGTGACGCATGCTCGACTTCATCGCGCCCTTGCTGCACGTCCGAGGATTGCCTGATCTCAATCCTCCCTCGGTTTTCTTGTCCTCTCCCTCTCCTTCTCTTTTTTTGTAAAATATGCGGTATTTACTAATATCCGTCTCTTCTTCTCTCTCTCTCTCTCTCTGTTGCTCTCCCAATTTCTTTATCCGCTAATAGCAGTCTCATTGTGAGGCAATGAATGGACTATCAATTGATTTAGTTAATTGGAGAAGACTTTGGTGGACCAGCTGGTTCTCATTGTCCATTCCCAGAGGTGCGTCTATAAGCAATCCTCGTCCTGAGATGGTCTACTTCACTTCTTCCTGGGTGTCCTTAAAAGCTCTTTGAAAGCTGCCTTGGTGCCTGGTTTGTGGTAGCCTCTCAACATCGTAAATCTTCGTAATTTGTGCCATTCACTGTTGTGACAGCAAGAGACATCACTTGCAAGGAGTAGGGGGTCTGGAGTTTCACGATTTGGGGAAAACGTACGTAGGATTGATTTTGAGATGCTAGACGTTGGGATATGCACCGTCACTGTTGTGAACGAGATTGCGGATTGTCCTGCGAGAATGGAGGGACGACTCTCCTCCTATTGACTCACTAGTTATAGTTCATCATGAAGATGAGGAAGAGGAAAAAGGAATGTTCTTACACATCTTCCAGTTGCACTGTATCGAGTGGAGAGATAGATTCCAGCCGTATCTCCTCTCTGGCCTTCAGGAAGTGAAGTATTGTGTCTGCCTTCCACCATCGAACATGCCACCAATCAAAGCAGTCTTGTTGGGATGAAGTGAGGAATGCGGCTCCCCAGAAGTGTGTAGTGTGTTGTCCTTTCGTTTAAAGGACTTTGAAATAAGAAATTGCAAAAAATACTTTGCCCACAGGCGTTTCAAAACATGAGGACTCAAAGTACGAGGAGAGTTGTCGAGAGGAAGAGGGAGAAGGTTATCGACAGACTGGAGCGTATCCATCCCCCTGGAAGGTATGCAAATTGCATAAATTGCATAAACTTTTGGAACATCTGGTAAAATAATTTAAACCATCCCTCCTTTTCACAAGTAACTGCGCCTCATTGGACTGCCCAGCTTAGGTTTACTAACAAAGACGACAAGAAGTGGACTTAAAAGAACGCAGAAAACGCAGACTTTTCTGGTCTCTCAAGGCTCGCCAACCGGTGAAGGGCCTCCCGACCTCATTTATTTATCTCCAACATACCCAGTGTGTCCGGCTTTGTGAGCTTTGCAACCCTCTTCACGCCCCAGTCTGAGATGATCCTTGCACCAAATTGTGGGATGCCTGTAGAATAATCTCATTATATTGGTTGTGGAAATAAGGTAAACGGAAAATTTTATATGAACTCTCAATAAAAAAGTAGGTGTGTGGGTGCCCACACGTCTGCCCTGGTCCACGCCCATCCGCTACAGGAGCAAGAGTGAGAGGGTGATTATCACTTCCGCCAGAGGCCTGACACGATAAACGGACAGGCAAGTAGACAGATAAGGGACAATTGTAAAGGCAATGGGGTGAAGGAGCACGGCAATTAGTGGGGCGGACCGCGGGATTAAAATTCAGCCAGAAGAAGCACACTGATTGGCGGACAGAGCTGCACAATTCAAAGTAATTGTTGGTAGATTTTAAATAACCTTATCGTCTTTCCAAAGGACTCTTTTGCTTGTTCATTGTTTATTTTATTGTATTTTCTTGCTTGAAAACATACTTGGCTATTGTATTATAAGGATTTGGTGTTTTGTTTGACTGTATAGTGAACTATGCGGGTCCCTCGGTGGCTGCAGGCTGAAGTTTCTCTCCGCTCTACGTTATGGTCTCCAGTACGCACTAGCAGTCCCCGAAGCTGTTAATCAAAACATTCCATAAGGTTTTCGGCGTAGCCTAATGCAACAACGAATTGTGCAGACTTAGAGAACCCAACTCTTACATGCCTTTCCAGACATAAATATGTCACCCTATGGGTATAGTACCTAGGACTTTCTCCCCCCTCCTTTGAACCCTTTTATCGTAGTGTCGGTTGAACGTTGTAGATAGGACTCAAGCTTAACTGCTCTACGAATTGATTCTAATTTGGCTCCAAAAGCTCCTCGTCGGATGCGTCGTGAGCGACGACAGAATAGGTAAATGCCCGTGTCAACTTAAAAGAGGGGAGGCTTGGGAGTGTGGATACCAAACATGACCCCTTCTATGGCAATTAGCTTTTGCGTTCATCACTGTTTCCACTGTGGTTGACGGACCAGCTGACATCGTACCACAAAACTGGCCCTTTGGACGACCTCGTGCCACGCCTTAGGATGGGAGGAAGACAAGTGCGAGCGGAGATACTGCCCAAACCAAGTGATCCTTAGCACTTTTTCCTGCCTTTAACACCCCACTATGAGACCATGGCAACAAAATGACGACCAAAACTAAGAAAATCAAAGAGACGGCGTATTTAAATGCCCCTTTACCTCTTGAACCGCGTCTCCGGCGCCAACCTCGGTGGAAGGTGCTTTAAAAACCACCCGCGATCCGGAACTGGTAGTCCTACTTTTCCAGTTAAAAAGCTATCAACAGGTCTAATAGGCATAATGTCGACTCCAGGAAAGGTGTCTTCCGAAAATACTCATTCACAATGATCAAGATTGTACTCAAGGAGACAGGAATCAAAAATGGGAAAGTAGATCAATTTGCATGCACCATAGGAGTTCGTTTTTGTTTGATTGGCCATTGAGTGTGGAAGGATGAAACAACCTCCACAAAATCTTTAATTGCTTTCATGGCCTCTCGTGCAGCCCTCCGTGAGACGGGATTCCGCCAGGCCTCGTCCATAGCTCTCACCAACAAACTCTCCCTTAGAGTGAAACCCAACAACCGTTGTCTAGACCAATAGGTATAGGCAAAAGCCACGAGGTAGGGCCACTGCGCCACCAAGAATGTCGTTTTCGCGGTACTGCCATACTTAACTATCGTCTCTAGAATGATTCTGTCCTCATTATGACACACCAGGTAGGTCATTACAACGAAGAATACGGGTGCGGTGTCTTCAAACATGTCAGCCAGTCGAAAAAGTGAGATAAATATGTCGATGATTGCCGGGCGAACGCCCTT